TCGACTGCACCCGAGGAGAAAATTGTTTGATTTTTAACCTTTTAGCATTATACTTTAGTATGCATCATTTTTTAATTTCGTATTCTGTCATTCCACTTTTATATCATTACATTTGTTAGTGCATTCTTATTTTTGTATATATATGTGTTCGTTGGATTGTATATGCATTTTTGTGCATATAGTATGGTTTGCATTTAGGTGTCATTGCATTGGGGCAATGCAAGCTTTTAAGTGTTAGGGGAGTATATGAAATTTGAAGGAAATCTAAACCCCACCTTGTATGTTCTTGACCTTAGGCGTAGAATGGCATAGTGTACTCTGTTGAGTAGAGGCTAAGTGTTAATTACATTTGATGTGTAAATCCTAGGTTGAATGAGAACTTAGACAAATAATTTAGAAGAATCAAAATAACTGCTGACAATTTACTAAGTGAAATTAAGAGAATGTAATAGTAATTTTTCATAAGTATCAAAATAACTGTTGACAATTTGAGTGCATAGTAAATAAATAAATTGACTCCAATGTGAGTACGTTATAAGCAACAAAAAGGGTATTTCTTGGGGGTTTGTCGCACCGCGTTAGTGCTACTCAAGACTAAAAATACTGTTGTTTTATGCTATGCTTTATATATATATATATATACAAAGAATAAGTCATTTGTGTTGATGTAAGGAGAACTTAAACTTGAAGTATAATGCTTTGATCTTATAAAGTGCATCCTAGTTATACTATTGTGAATGTGGACGCATTAGTCCTGTGATTTATTTGTCTAAGAACTTGTTTGGCTTAGGTAGCAAGATGTGAATGCACGAGGCCTCTTTAAATTTGCTCTCGTGGTTGTATTATTCTGTTTACTTGAAGCAAACGTTCAAGTGTGGGGGAGTGATATTACTGTAAATGACATATGATTCTGCCCACATTCCAAACTTATTGTATCCCTAAGTCGTGCATTTCATATCATTTCTCATTGCATTCATACTCGCATTGCATTTAGAGTATAAATATCATCACAATGCATTTTTTCATTTTATTTACATTTACTTTCTCCTTGGATGCACGAAAAATGATCGAAAAACCTGTGCTGATATCGTTTGCCTTAGACCTACTAAGATAAAAACGTACTACAGTCGCGGCCAAAGCGTTGATTATTGTCGTAATAGATATGAAGGAACTTGTGGGTGCAAACGTTAAATGAACGTTGATTATCTAGAATATCATATGGTTATGTTGCATTGTCCATATTCTAGAATGTGTACGGATGATCACATCATTTACGTGAAAGGACAGCTGGACATTTTAGAGCCCTATATAAGGAAGAGATTTATACAAGAGGGAGAGCTTTTACCATCGTCTTTCTTACCTTAGTCCCGATCGCCGTTTCATCAGTACTTTAGCCATGCTCATGGCATGCTAGAAACCTCCCTTAGAGCACCTCTGTAGATTGCCTGAACCGCCACAGACTGTAGAAGCAATTGTGGAGCACCGAACGAGTTAACCAGAACATTGTCGAGCAGTTACATAGGAATATGGGTTGTTATAGATGTTCTTGCTTGAACTCTATTTTATTTTGATTATTAAGTGTTAGTATTTTTGGTTGGACGAAAGTTAACCTTCAGTACTCTAGCTTTTGCAATATATTAAGTCTTCCTTTATTTGCTCTATATCTATTGAATCTGAGTAGTGACAAGTGTGGAAGTAACATCACTATGATAGCTTAAGATGCATCCGTGTTGGCGGAATTCACTTTAACCACAACGGAAGTTGGGTAAGATGTGGGAACGGTACTTGTAGTATATAGCTCGGAAGAGAATGATGCTTGGGTAGTGAGCTTCGGTAGATGCAAATAATTGTTATGCTTAGTATATTTGCTGAGCTTTATTTATCAATGGTCAAAATACATTATCTAGCTTGACGTGTGCCTCCGTTTGGAAGATCTGATGAGTGTTCCACTTCTATCCATTAATATTATATTTTCTTTATTTCCTTATTTCATTGTCGTTGCATTATTCGCATTCACAACCAACTCGTACAAATCCCAATCTTTTCTTCTTCTTTTTCCCACAAAGTTAGATCTAACAACAATAAAATACCATTAGCTTTGTTCCCTGTGGGTTTGACATCTTTAGCCAAAAGGCTATCTCTATTCTACAATCGATGAGGGTGCGCTTGCACCTACTGCTGTCACATATCTACTGATCAATTTTCTCATCCTTGAAGTGTTTACATTATCGATACAACAGGGGTATCTCCATGTTAGATATATGGATGAGGACTTCAACATTGTTTTTTAAATTTCCCAAGTCCACATATCTCGATAGTTAAATGAATTATTTATTATCAAAATTGTCAAAATGGCAATTTTTGGAGCTATTTCAATGCCTATACAGATATCCAATGGAAAATTCTCTACACTCTAACGAGATAGTAATGGAGAAAACAATAACATCTCGACGCTCTGTATGGGCCAAGGATGAATTCCAGTCATAGCAGAGACACCTCAACTCTTTCTAGTTGATCATAAGAGAGATTGTGGTATTGTTCCTTTAGTTAGGGTGGAGCAGAGGCATCTGCATGCTCTTAGGCATCGGTCAGAGAGAAGGCAACTCGATGCCCTTAGAGAAGTCAGACGGATGGACGGAGGCAACTTCTCCTTAGTAGAAGCGATGACAGAAATCCCCTTGCTAGGATGAAGATACCTCGACATTTATAATAGTAATAGAAAGACTCATTATTGGAGCGGGAACGTCTTAACATTTTTTGAAGGACTCTTTAAGATGTAGTAGCTAGAGTATGACACAATTCGACACCCTCGATGAAATATCACAAAAAGAGTAGAGATATCTTGACATTTTTTAGGATAGAGGTATCTCAACGTTCTAAAACGATTCTTATTATTGAAACGGAGGTATGGCTTCATGGTTTAAAAATGCCATTAAATTTCGCACGAAAAAAGGACTGTCTGAAAGAATTTCTTGTAGAATGCTAGTAAAGTTAACATAGAAATGTTACAGCACTAGAAATTCTTGAAGAATAAGGGTGGCAAGTGCGTACATACAAATGTAGATATTGTCCGTATGTATGTAAATGCTTTGAATAGTCGGGGAAACAATTAAATATTTCGGAAATGAAAAGGCCATATCAATGGAATGATAATCCAAAGCATAGCGTATATGAAACATCTTATGCATGTCAGGCCTGTCTACATCAATAGTTGGTTGGCACCGGACAGTTTCATGCTTCATTTAGTTTATATGTACTGTGTAATCATGTGATATAATATCGGTGCAGCTAAAAGTAATTTAGATGAACCATAAATCATTAATAATTGCCTTCATGTTTGGACCCTTGATGTACTCACCAAACACTAGATCTATCTAGTAACATTGCACATCAACAACCATTTACTTGCATTATGAATTTACACAATATTTATAAGTACAATATATAAAAATATTCAACAAATTTAAAATTCAAATATGAACAAATATACTTCTTATTTTTATTTAAAAAATGTATATGCAATTTGGTTAAAGACTTTATATATATATTCTACAATCATTTTATATGTCCATTTAAAAGATTGATACAACTTGGAAATTCACGTATGTTTTTAGCATAAATTAATAAGGGTCTGTCCGAAGCAAGAAAAATTCACAAGCAAGCGTAAAAGGAAGGAACCTGAAAAACCGTTGATATTTTATTGACCAAAACGTCCTTGTAATTATTTGTAATAAATCTTGATTCTTTCTGGAATCAACAAGGCAAAAGCAATGGAACCCAAATGCATTTAATAATTCTGACTGATTCTTCTATAACAATAGGATATGGCTTATGGCAGCTTGTGTTTTTCCCCATTATCTCGTTCATCTCGAGGCAGATAAACAATTTAAATCAACAATCTTTCCATGCATATAGGGTTTTGGATCTAGTTATTTTACCCAACCCGGATCAATGAAATGTATAACCCAATTTCCTGCAAGGTTATTTGAGTCAATGCACGTTAAAGCTTCTGGTTCATGTTTCTATCATTCTTCAAGCTGAAAACAGAGAATAAAACCCATAAAATAATAGTTTTTAGTGTAAACTATACATTTAGTCATCCAATTATCCATGCATTTTCATTTTAGTATCATAACTATTTTTTTTTAAATTATATCTAACATTATATTTTGATTTTATTTTTAAAAAATTATATCTAACATTATTTTTATTTTATTTTGGTCATCCTTCATAACACTATAAAGTAATTTCATACCATCATTGAAAAATAAAATAAAATATCGCATTAACAGTCTTATTTATTTTTTAACAATGAATTATCAAAATAAAATTAAAACATAAGATTAAATATAATTTTTAAAAAAAATAAATACTTCAATAAATAAAGAGAAATCGTACAAATAATTAGGTGATCCAATATGTAGTTTACCCTAAATTTTTAAAGGGCATGGTAACAATAGTTTTACAGAAAAAGGTTGATAATAAGAAACAGAAGACGTTATCAGAATTGAACACCTTTGGTACTTGCAGAGACGGCAGTGGCCAGTGTCTGGTCCACAAGCTAACCCAACCAAATCCCGGAAAAAAATGCTTTAGTGTTTTGTTCTGACATGGGATTACACTGGAACTGAAACTTGGTTCAAACTCTGCTATCTGACTCCTCAACAATGGCAGCTAATAGCCAATTCCAGAATAAAAACTTGGAAATACAAAAAAAAAAAAATCAACTTTAGAGAGGAGAAAAGAACAAAAACACTTGTTGTAAGAGGTTCAAGAGTTTGAGTTTCAGTACTAATTTAGAGATTGAAGCCTGTTGTAATAATTTTCAGTAATTTTTTAAATGTTTTGAGACAAAACAAAAAGTTGCGGAGAATTCAAGAAATGGAGTGTGGGTCAGAAACAACGAAGAATAGAAAGAATACCAAACATTCATGATTCATCTATGAATGAAGAAATATTAGAAACCACAATTTAAAAAAGTGCATAGAAAACATTCAGATCCACGTGAATTCGATCCCCTAACAGCTACGCAAATGAAACCACACTGAACTCATCATCTTCTACTGGAGCTGGCAAATTTAGATCTATCAAATTGTTGTCAAATTTGCTTGAATTTGCAGCAGCAAGCAAATGGGACCTTTTGTGGCCGCCCAGTGCTTGTCCTGAACCGAACACTCTATAGCACAATGGGCACTCGAATATCCTGCTGTCGTTAGAACCAACAACTACAGCGGCCGCAACTTTACCTGTTTTCTTGGTTTCAGAGCAAACCCTTTTATGTTCATCCAATGTGTAATGAGATCGAAACGTTTTCTTACATTTCTCACATCGAATCTTTATATTGCTGAACTCCTGAACGGATTTTTGTTCCACGTTTTTGCTTTTCCAAACATCTCTTGACAGCATCATAAGACACAAAGCAACATGTTGTTCAGGTGAAGTATCAGAAACTGAACTCACCGGTTCTGGCTCAGTCAGTGAGTCGGCCAAACTGGGTTTCCTCAACAGCTCTGTTTTCTTGATTTCACCCGTTGTTGTTGTAGTGTTAGTTCCCAGCTTTCGATATCTCTTGGATCGTCTCTGAGTTGGGTTTCTTGACTCGGTCTCACTTTCTGCATATTGAACAACGGACCCAGAATCGACTGCAAATGAGAATCCAGGATCTACGAACCTGAGACTCTTCTTGGGATTCTCTCTCAACCCGTAAACCAAACATTTGTCTTCAAGAACTCGGATTTTCTCTTCTCGTAGTTCTGGCTCTTCACCCGATGAAGAAGATGAGTCAGTGCTGTCACTGGGTTGGTGCTGGTGAGTCGTCTTTTGAGGCAGTGGATGAGTGGCTAAGTGACCTTTCATGTGACCTCCTAAAGCTCTGCCATTAGAGAATGTTCGAGTACAGAGCTTGCATTTGTGCTTCCCCATTGTCACAGAACTGAAGCAAACCAAAGAACAAAGTACCCTTTTTTCTCTCTCACCAAAAAGCATGAGAAAACAATTAAAAGAAAAGATTGGGAATTTAGAAGTAGGTGTCGATCGTTCCTCCACCAAAAAAGACACAATCGAACCAAAAATTATGATTTTCGTTTAATTATTTATACAATATTTTAAATAAATTAAAAAAATTTAACAAAAAAATAAATTAAAAAAATATTTTTATGATAATAATGAAAAATGTAAAAGTACTATGTTGTGATTTATTTATTCAAATATCATTTTTTTTCTTTTATGAAACTCCCTAAGTTGTTAATAATATTGTTTAAAAGAATTAGAGACTGGATTTATAATAAGTGTTGAGTCTATAAAATGGTTGTTATTTCATCTCTCTCACACCCACGTATATATATATTCAGTATTTTTATAAACATAAAACTCTTGGTCTTTTAATTTGTAAAACTCTATGTTTTAAATTTTAAAGGCTTAAAGGGTCACAAATGCCCCTATAGTAGATCAAATTTATCAATTTCGTCTCTATCGTATTTTCGCATTAATTTTGTCCTCGAAGTTATTTAATTGCATCAATTTCTATCTTTGATTGTCTTGACTAACATAACCATTAGTTTCTGATGACATGGATTGTTGGGATTTTCGGAAGCTCGAATCGACAACCGAACGGTTTGCAAAGAGGGGTTGGAATGGTTTTGTGTTTAGGGAGTAAGGAGATTGAAAGATAGAGAATTTGCACAGCGATTTATAGTGGTTCGACTTTCTCAAACAAAGTCTACATCCACTACCTTAGCTCCTCACCAAGAATTTTCCAATAAATTCACTAATTTGTTCTTTCTTTTGAGTACAAAGAGATAACCTTACAACTCCCTAGTTTTTCCAGGCTAAACTAGAACATTTCCCCTTTACAAAAGGATAAGAAATGTAAACAAGAAAACCTCTCTAAGGTAGGTGTTTACAAGAATTAAGCTCACAAGAACAAAATATTTACAAGAGAAAGATGAAAAAAGAATGAAAAACTCTTCTCTTGTGTTTGATTGTTTGGATAGTTGTTCTGTTGCTTCTTCAAGTGTCCTTAGCTTGTATTTATAGCTTGGAATGTGTTTGATGTTGTATATAGCCGTTGGGTATGTTTTGGAGCCATTTGGGGATATTTTTCTACTCAAAAAGGCTGCCCATAACATGGTGCATCAGTGCACTATCAAGATGCATCGATACCCCTTCATTAAATTCAAATAAACTAGCCGTTAGTAGTCGTTGCACCCTTGGTGCATCAATGCACAGCAGGGTGCATCGATGCACTAATTGCATTCGAAATGGAGTGCATGGATGCACTGCATGGTGCATCGATGCACTAGTGGCAGGTGCATGGATGCACTGCAGGGGTGCATGGATGCACTGCAGGGGGTGCATGGATGCACTGCAGGAGTGCATGGATGCACTTTGACACCCTTGAGCATTTTTGCTCAAATTCGAATTTAATGGACTTTGAATTATTTTTTAAACCTTTTTAAAACTTTAAATAAATTCAATTCAAGTCCAAAAACATTTTTGCCTTTAAATTTGTTATATCGAAACATAATTCAACAATCTCCCCCTTTTTGATATAACAAAACATTTAAAAAATTATTTTTGGCAAAACTCCCCCTTAATAAAATGTTTAATGAAAAAGATACCAATTGTTAACAAAATGATATCAATTGTTTGAAAATATATGAAAAAGATACCAATTGTTAACAAAATGATATCAATTGTTACCAATTGTTTGAAAATATATGAAAATGTTAAGCTCCCCCTTTTTCATTAAGAAATTAAATTTTTTTAAACCAAACTTCTCCCCCTTTTTGTTATATCAAAAATAATTCAATCTTTGAAGTTCAAAATAACTTTGGAGAGTAAGTAGTAAATTTGATATTTTAAAACTTATTTGAAAAATCAAAGCTCCCCCTCAATAAATGTATTCCAAACAAAATTTAGGTTTAAGAACTTGACACGTAAACAAAATTGAATTTCAACAAAGAATAACAAACATGTTAGTAGTACATGAAATTCAATATATCCAAGTCTAAAATACTTTATGCAATATTAATTATTGAAATTAAGTGCATATGCATAAAGTTTTCAAAAATGTTATGCATTTGAAAATTTTGATATCAATTGTTAGAGAGATATCATTTTCATTTAAATCACATGCATAAACATTTAAATTTAGGTCAAAAAATTAAAATTTGTAAAATCAAAGTTTTTAAAAAATTGATATCAATTGTTAGAGATATATCATTTGCATTAAAACCAATTTTGACCAAAATTTTATTATGATGAACTAAAAAAATCATTAAAAATTTAAAATGTTCATCATAACCATTTTTTAACACACATAAGATTAAAAACAATGCATAATCATTTAAAATCAAAACTCATGCATGCATAAATCCTATGATCAACCAAATAACTAAAATTAAAAACATTAAGCTTAGAGGTTACCCATTCCTTTTCATGTGTGGCTAGAGCATCTTGAATATCATCATTTTCATCACCATTGCTCCCACACACCTACAAGAGACATTTAATTAGATTTTGGTATCCAAATTGCTTTGGATCCTTGAACGTTAGTTTCAATGCCCCTTGTTCCTTTCGTAACTCATACTTGTCTAATTTTAAAACGTTTTCCTTTCTTCAAAGGACAAGTATGTTCCATATGACCATGATAATGGAAATGTGAGCATTTTGCCATATTTAAACATAATAGGTTGTTTTTAGAAATTAATTCTTTTTCTTTTATTAAGCTTTCAAGCTTAACTCCTAACTCAAAATTTTCTTTTTCTAAATCATTTATTTTGATTTTTGAAAGCTCTAAATTATTTTTCAAAATTTCATTTTGATTTTCAAAATCAACTTTTGCTTTCAAAATCAAATTATTTTTAATTTTGAGTTTTGAAATTAATTTTGTATATTTGGAATTCATGGTCTCAAATCCCAAATACAACCTATTATAAGCATCTTGTAACTCATCAAAAGTAAATGAAATAAAATCATTCGAGTTAGAAGATACCTTGAATTCTTCTTGAGTGGTCATGAGGCATAGGTTGACTACTTTATCTTTATCATTGGAATCATCTTCATCACTCCAAGATGCAACAAATGCCTTCTTCCCCTTTTTCTTTAGAATATGACATTCATACTTGACATGCCCCTTTCTTTGACAATTGAAACATACCGTGGGACTCTTCTTCTTGGTTGATTCATGTTTCACTTCCTTGGAAATCATGAATCTCTTGAGTTCTTTCAAGAGTTTGACCATCTCTTCTTCTTGTTCATCGTCGTCTTCATCCACCTCATCACTTGAATCTTGATAGCTTTCATTGGTGGATTTGAAGGCAATGTCTACCTCCTCCTTCTCCTTCTTCTTCTTGTTTTTCTTCTCTTCCCTTTATTCATCTTCCATCACCATCTTCTCATGAATGAGAATGAAACCAATTAGCTTGTCGAGAGTGAGAGACTTATGTTTCTTACTTCGATAATGGTTGTCTTCTTTGATAGCCACTCCTTTGGAAGAGAGCATATCATCTTCCTCACAAGCTTCTCATTTGAGATTACTTCTCCATATCCCTTGAGACCGTTGACAATCACGGAAAATCTATCCTTCATAGGTTTGATGTCTTCATCGGGTTTCATCTTGAAGTTCTCGTAGTTATGGTTGAGAAGACTTTTCTTTGATTCCCTCACTTCGTCGATTCCTTCATGAGTGACTTGGAGCTTATCCCAAATCTCTTTGGCACTGGAACAAGATGAGATTCTTCCATATTCATTTGGGCCTAAAGCACATATTATAATATGTATAGCCTTAGAATTAACCTAAAATATTTGCTGCTCTTCTCTACTCCAATCGTTGTACTTGTCGGGTGGAGAGGAGTAACCGTCCATGATTGATTTCCAAGCTCCTATATTGTAGGATTGAATAAATTAAATCATCTTATTCTTCCAATGTGCATAATTTGCTCCATTGAAGAAGGGTGGCTTGTTAACCGGTTGTGAATCCATAATAGGATATTCTTCAAGATAATAAGCACCGGAGGAAAAGTCATTTCTTTGTCAGTTGCGTCGGGAATTGGTAGAGCTTCTTCGAGGATCGTCTCAAGGTGGTTAAACCTTTTTAACGAGTTAGGCTCTGATGCAAATTGTTGGGATTTTCGGAAGCTAGAATTGATAACCGGAACGGTTTGCAAAGAGGGGTCGGAACGGTTTTGTGTTTAGGGAGTAAAGAGATTGAAAGATAGAGAATTGCACAGCGATTTATAGTGGTTTGATTTTCTCAACCAAAGTCTACATCCACTACCTTAGCTCCTCACCAAGGATTTTCCAACAAATTCACTAATTTGTTCTTTCTTTTTAGGACAAAGAGATAACCTTACAACTCCCTAGTTTTTCCAGGCTACACTATAACCTTTCCCCTTTACAAAAGGATAAGAAATGTAAACAAGAAAACCTCTCTAAGGTAGGTGTTTACAAGAATTAAGCTTATAAGAACAAAATATTTACAAGAGAAAGACGAAATAAGAATGAAAAACTCTTCTCTTGTGTTCGATTGCTTGGATAGTTGTTCTGTTGCTACTTCAAGTGTATTTAGCTTGTATTTATAGCTTGGAATGTGTTTGATGTTGTATATAGTCGTTGGGGATGTTTTGGAGCCATTTGGGGATGATTTTTCTAATCAAAAAGGCTGCCCATAACATGGTGCATCAGTGCACTATCAAGGTGCATCGATACCCCTTCATTAAATTCAAATAAACTAGTTGTTATTAGCCGTTGCAGCCTTGGTGCATGGATGCACTGCATGGTGCATCGATGCACTAGTGGCAGGTGCATGGATGCACTGCATGGTGCATCGATGCACTAGTGGCAGGTGCATGGATGCACTACAGGGATGCATGGATGCACTGTAGGGGTGCATGGATGCACTGCAGGAGTGCATGGATGCACTTTGACACCCTTTAGCATTTTTGCTCAAATCCGAATTTAATGGATTTTGAATTATTTCTTAAA